CAAATACTCACACCTCGCAAGTCACCATCCGCGACAGACTTGGAGATAAGAGCAGACAGAGCATCAACGACAAATAGGAAAAGAAAAGGAGACAATGGATCACCTTGTTGCAGGCCCCGCGAAGGGGAGAACACCTCAAGTAATTTTCCGTTGAGCTTCACCGAATATTTTACCGATTTAACGCATGCCATAATCCAGCTTATCCAGATGCCAGAAAAACCCCACTTAACTAGAGCCTTCTCGAGAAAATCCCAATCCACACGGTCATAAGCCTTTGACAGGTCAAGCTTGTAAGCACATGCCGCAGGACTATTATGCTTAATGGACTGGATATGATGAATGCATTCAAAGGCTATGATAGAATTATCGGAAATCAGCCTCCCTGGAATGAAGGCACTTTGGTTCTCGGAGATGAGGTCTACCAAGAGAGGGCGAAGGCGATTTACCAAACACTTGGACACAATTTTGTAAATCACATTGCACAAACTTATTGGCCGAAAATCCTTAAGTTCTTTAGGGAAAGGCACTTTTGGAATCAGCACAATAGCAGTATCATTCACAGCCTCAGGCATGATTCCTGATTTGAAGAACTCCAACACCGCCGCCATGATATCATCTTTCAAGACCGCCCAATTGCGTTGATAGAATCGAGCCGGGAATCCGTCTGTGCCTGGTGCCTTCAGTGGACCTATCTGGAAAAGCGCATTGGCCACCTCCTCCTCAGAAAAAGGTGCACATAACATGTCATTCATCTGTTGAGATACTCTGGGCAATATATTCTCAAGGACTGACTCCGGAGCTAGGGTCGGGTCCTTAGTAAACACTTCCTTGAAGTACGACGTAGCCAGCAACTCCATATCGGAGGGGACCGAGCACCACGTCTCGTCGGCTCGTCGTAGGCGCTGGATGTGGTTCTGGCGTGCCCGCCATACTGCCCGCCGATGAAGGTAAGAGGTATTTCTCTCCCCCTCCTTAAGCCACGTGATTCGTGAACGCTGCAGCCAGAGCATCTCCTCCCGATACAAAAGCTCATCCAGCTTGTACATGTTTTGACGTATGGCATCTCTAGCTGCGCCATGAAGTTGCATGTCCGCCAACTCAGACCGAAGCTTTTCAATCTCCGTAATCACATGGCCAAACTTCTCCTTGCTCCAGGCCCGTAGCTTATGCATCATCTCTTTCATAGCATCCCGCACCGCACCAAGGTGTCCGTGCGGTTTACTCTTACGCCAAGTTTCAGCAATCACATCTCCTAGCCCAGGGTGCCGCTCCCACATTATCTCATATCTCGGGCTGATTTTTGTACGCATTGGCTCCTCATGTGCAAGCCGTATCATCAGCGGGACATGATCTGAGCAGGAGGTAGCAAGGTGTGTGACTTGCGCAAACGGGAACAAGTCCCGCAACGCCTCGTCAGCGCAAGCCCTGTCTAGCCTTACCCACACATTCCGATCACCCATCTGCCCGTTATCATATGTGAACGTGGTACCTGAGAAGCCCAAGTCCATGAGCTCGCATATCTCCAAACAATCACGGAAAAGCAGCATTTGATTTTCAGAATGTTGCGACCGAGAAAAATGTTCATGTTGCCACATCGCCTCGTTGAAGTCCCCACAAACCAGCCACGGATCTGACGACGCCGCTCGAAGATTTGAGAGGGCACTCCACATGCGATGACGGTGGTCCACCCGTGGTTCTCCATACACAAAGGTAGTTCTCCATGTTTTGTCATTAGCTACATCCACAATTCTCACATCTATATAACGTGCACAAGAGTCCAACACCGTTACTTGCAGATTTTCATCCCAATACAACGCTAGCCCCCACTGAGGCCATCACTTGACACACCAGCAAAACCTTTCATTTGCAATCTCCACTTCAGTTTCTCCATCTTACTAGAGGCTTGACGAGTTTCTGACAGAAAAATCAGCCCCGGCGAATT